GGGGCCCCCGAGGAGCCAGGACATGGTGCCATTGCGCTTCTCCAGGGGTAAAGCCTGGAGTCTGGGGCCCCCGAGGAGCCAGGACGTGCTGCCATTGTGCTTCTACATGGGTAAAGCCTGGAGTCTGGGGGCCCCCGAGGAGCCAGGACTTGGTCCCATTGCGCTTCTCCATGGGTAAAGCCTGGAGTCTGGGGCCCCCGAGGAGCCAGGACGTGCTGCCATTGTGCTTCTCCATGGGTAAAGCCTGGAGTCTGGGGGCCCCCGAGGAGCCAGGACGTGCTGCCATTGTGCTTCTCCATGGGTAAAGCCTGGAGTCTGGGGGCCCCCGAGGAGCCAGGACATGCTGCCATTGTGCTTCTCCATGGGTAAAGCCTGGAGTCTGGGGCCCCCGAGGAGCCAGGACGTGCTGCCATTGCGCTTCTCCATGGGTAAAGCCTGGAGTCTGGGGGCCCCCGAGGAGCCAGGACGTGCTGCCATTGTGCTTCTCCATGGGTAAAGCCTGGAGTCTGGGGGCCCCCGAGGAGCCAGGACATGGTGCCATTGTGCTTCTCCATGGGTAAAGCCTGGAGTCTGGGGCCCCCGAGGAGCCAGGACGTGCTGCCATTGCGCTTCTCCATGGGTAAAGCCTGGAGTCTGGGGGCCCCCGAGGAGCCAGGACGTGCTGCCATTGTGCTTCTCCATGGGTAAAGCCTGGAGTCTGGGGGCCCCCGAGGAGCCAGGACATGGTGCCATTGTGCTTCTCCATGGGTAAAGCCTGGAGTCTGGGGCCCCCGAGGAGCCAGGACGTGCTGCCATTGCGCTTCTCCATGGGTAAAGCCTGGAGTCTGGGGGCCCCCGAGGAGCCAGGACGTGCTGCCATTGTGCTTCTCCATGGGTAAAGCCTGGAGTCTGGGGGCCCCCGAGGAGCCAGGACATGGTGCCATTGTGCTTCTCCATGGGTAAAGCCTGGAGTCTGGGGCCCCCGAGGAGCCAGGACGTGCTGCCATTGCGCTTCTCCATGGGTAAAGCCTGGAGTCTGGGGGCCCCCGAGGAGCCAGGACGTGCTGCCATTGTGCTTCTCCATGGGTAAAGCCTGGAGTCTGGGGGCCCCCGAGGAGCCAGGACATGGTGCCATTGTGCTTCTCCATGGGTAAAGCCTGGAGTCTGGGGCCCCCGAGGAGCCAGGACGTGCTGCCATTGCGCTTCTCCATGGGTAAAGCCTGGAGTCTGGGGGCCCCCGAGGAGCCAGGACGTGCTGCCATTGTGCTTCTCCATGGGTAAAGCCTGGAGTCTGGGGGCCCCCGAGGAGCCAGGACATGGTGCCATTGCGCTTCTCCATGGGTAAAGCCTGGAGTCTGGGGCCCCCGAGGAGCCAGGACGTGGTGCCATTGCGCTTCTCCATGGGTAAAGCCTGGAGTCTGGGGGCCCCCGAGGAGCCAGGACTTGGTCCCATTGCGCTTCTCCATGGGTAAAGCCTGGAGTCTGGGGCCCCCCGAGGAGCCAGGACTTGGTCCCATTGCGCTTCTCCATGGGTAAAGCCTGGAGTCTGGGGCCCCCAAAGAGCCAGGACATGGTGCCATTGTGCTTCTCCATGGGTAAAGCCTGGAGTCTGGGGCCCCCGAGGAGCCAGGACATGCTGCCATTGTGCTTCTCCATGGGTAAAGCCTGGAGTCTGGGGGCCCCCGAGGAGCCAGGACTTGGTCCCATTGCGCTTCTCCATGGGTAAAGCCTGGAGTCTGGGGCCCCCCGAGGAGCCAGGACTTGGTCCCATTGCGCTTCTCCATGGGTAAAGCCTGGAGTCTGGGGCCCCCCGAGGAGCCAGGACTTGGTCCCATTGCGCTTCTCCATGGGTAAAGCCTGGAGTCTGGGGCCCCCAAAGAGCCAGGACATGGTGCCATTGTGCTTCTCCATGGGTAAAGCCTGGAGTCTGGGGCCCCCGAAGAGCCAGGACATGGTGCCATTGCAACCCCCCCCAGTATGTACCAGAGGAGTGCACTACCCCCCAGAGGCCCTCACAGGAGAAGGGCTGGGCCTGGGCTGCACTACAGACATATACCAGATAGGGAGCATGCAATGCTACATGCAACCATAGGTGCACATGAGCGGAAGTCATACCGTACGATAGAAGAGAAATGATAGACTGTAACCCCTTCCATACTCACCTCACACTGCAGCCTGTCTCTGCTTTCTGGAAGGCTCTGGCACTCTCTATACACCCCCTGCCCTCTCTCTGACGTCACTTCCCAAAGCCTCAACCCAGAAGCCTGCCCTCTCACCGACGTCACTTCCCAAAGCCTCAACCCAGAAGCCTGCCAATCACTGACGTCACTTCCCAAAGCCTCAACCCAGAAGCCTACCAATCACTGACGTCACTTCCCAAAGCCTCCACCCAGAAGCCTGCCCTCTCACCGACGTCACTTCCCAAAGCCTCAACCCGTCAGCCTGCCCTCTTTCTGACGTCACTTCCCAAAGCCTCAACCCGTCAGCCTGCCCTCTTTCTGACATCACTACCCCAACCTTACACATCTTGTCTAAATCCGTTATCTGACCAGTCACCGGATGTGACGTCACCACTCGGAGATCTCGACAGAACACACACCGGTCCGACTCCTGAGCAGTGTTCATCGTGCGATGTCGGAGAGGGATTTATGTTGCTTGTGTTATGAGAACGTTTAAAGGGAATGTGAAGACGAAACACTTTTGTTTTGGATAAAGTGGGAAATGAGTGGCCCCCTGTCAGTACTTGTAGATTTCCCCTCACTTCCTGTTCTGGTGACACAGTAAGGCATGCTCTGAAATGGTGTCAGTGCAGAGAATTGCCCCTGTGTGGGTGGAGTCACCGGGTGGAATGCCCCTGTGTCGGTAGAGTACCCGGGAGGAATGCCCCTGTGTATGTGGAGTCACCGGGAGGAATGCCCCTGTGTGGGTGGAGTCACCGGGTGGAATGCCCCTGTGTGGGTGGAGTCACCGGGTGGAATGCCCCTGTGTGGGTGGAGTCACCGGGAGGAATGCCCCTGTGTGGGTGGAGTCACAAGGAGGAATACCCCTGTGTGGGTGGAGTCACCGGGAGGAATGCCCCTGTATGGGTGGAGTCACTGGGGGGAATGCTCCTGTGTGGGTGGAGTCACAGAGGAATGCCCCTGTGTGGGTGGAGTCACAAAGGAATGCCCCTGTGTATGTGGAGTCACCGGGAGGAATGCCCCTGTATGGGTGGAGTCACCGGGTGGAATGTTCCTGTGTGGGTGGAGTCACTGGGAGGAATGCTCCTGTGTGGGTGGAGTAACCGGGAGGAATGCCCCTGTGTGGGTGGAGTCACTGGGAGGAATGCCCCTGTGTGGGTGGAGTCACCGGGAGAAATGCCCCTGTATGGGTGGAGTCACTGGGTGGAATGCTCCTGTGTGGGTGGAGTCACAGAGGAATGCCCCTGTGTGGGTGGAGTCACAGAGGAATGCCCCTGTGTGGGTGGAGTCACAGAGGAATGCCCCTGTGTCGGTGGAGTCCCCGGGAGGAATGCCCCTGTGTGGGTGGAGTCACCGGGGGGTGTGCCCCTGTGTGGGTGGAGTCACAGAGGAATGCCCCTGTGTCGGTAGAGTCCCCGGGAGGAATGCCCCTGTGTGGGTGGAGTCACCGGGAGGAGTGCCCCTGTGTGGGTGGAGTCACCGGGAGTAGTGTCCCTGTGTGGGTGGAGTCACCGGGAGGAGTGCCCCTGTGTGGGTGGAGTCACTGGGAGGAATGCCCCTGTGTGGGTGGAGTTACCGGGAGGAGTGTCCCTGTGTGGGTGGAGTCACTGGGAGGAATGCTCCTGTGTGGGTGGAGTCATAGGACCAGGGGCTGAAGCTCTGCAGGAATTTCATTGGTTTCAGGGTCATTTTGTGGGCGGAGTCATTATTTCTGTGTTATAGAACCTCTGTCTGCTTTCATTGCCAGAGGCAGAAGACCTCAGAGATGGTGACCTGGGGGAGGGGGCCAGCGGCAGAAGACCTCAGAGATGGTGACCTGGGGGAGGGGGCCAGCGGCAGAAGACCTCAGAGATGGTGACCTGGGGGAGGGGGCGGCGGCAGAAGACCTCAGAGATGGTGACCTGGGGGAGGGGGC